AGTACTAGTACTAGTACTAGTAGGAGGAGTAGTTGTAGGAGGAATAGTAGTAGGAGTAGTAGTAGTAGTAGCAGCAGCAGCAGTAGTAGTAGTATGAGTACTACTAGTAGTACTGGTAGTAGTAGTAGTAGTAGTAGCAGTAGTAGTAGTAGTAGCAGTAGTAGGAACTGGTAGTAGCAGTAGCAGTAGCAGTAGTAGTAGTAGTAGTAGTAGTAGTAGTAGTAGTAATAGTAGTAGCAGTAGTAGTAGTAGTAGTAGGAGCAGCAGCAGCAAATAGTCGCACTAGTAGTATGCAATGGTGATAGTAAAGTGTTGGTAGTGGTCGCATTGCTACTGCTACTGCTACTACTACTACTACTACTACTACTACTACTACAACTACCACTACCACTGCCACTACCACTACTACTACTACTACTACTCCTCCTCCTCCTACTACTACTACTAATAATACTACTACTACGACTTTTGCTACCCACTACTGCTACTAGTACTGGTCTTGATACTAATACCAGCTTCTGCTGCGCTACTACTCCGAGGACAACGACTACGACTACGACGACTACTAATTACTACGACGACGGCTGCCACGACGACGACGACGACGACTACCACCAATACTACGCCACGACGACGACTGCTACTGATACTCCTGCTGCTGTCGGGTGACAGATCGCCGCATGTGCCGGAGGTGGGGTCCTCTCACCCCGCAGCCCCCTTAAGCCCGAGGAGGTTTTGCTTCTTGTTTCCGTGCCATGAATGAGCTTCGGGGCTGAGTACAACTGAAGCCTCAGCAGGTCCAAGACGACCTGTAGCGGCTTGAGAATCAGGGTCTGCGATTCATTCATTCCGGCTCCCGGCCTCAAGTATTCAAATTGCCCGTAATGCACGCATCTCGGAGTGCATACGTCTATATTACTCTTACTCGCATGTGCAGGCTCATGCAAATATGTGTGTGTGTGTCTACTGCTTCGTAACCCAGGAATGCTCACATGCATTGTTGCATCAGTAGTGACCTCCTTCCTCTGCGCATACAACCACACATATACATAGACTGATTGGCTGTGAAGCGGCGATTTCCCGGCTCCCCTCCCTCTTCGCGGCTCCCAAAGGCGCAGAATCCCATCTGCCGATGCAGACGCGAGCTTCGTTCCGGCCTCTCAAGCACAGGACTTCTCCAAACCGCCAACACTACAAAGTTGATCAGAACTGTGCCGGATGGGACCAAAAGTGCTCTCCTTTTGCCGGATGTCCAGGCTTTTGCCCGACAGAGCCAGTCACAGTGCTTGCAAGCAGCCACCGCACAGTCCGAAGCTGAATTTGATCAAGGGCCCAGTGCGTCGATGCACAAAAAAATTCAAGTTCTTGGCTGTAGCAGCAGGAGATTCCGACTCATCAAAAGCAAAGACGGTCGAGAAGTCCCCTGGCACTTGTTCGTAGTCCCCCGTGTCAAATGCGCAGGTGAACTACCAAGGAGGAGCTGGTAGAGATGGCAGAGACTATGTCAGCTTTCGCAAAATCCTCATGCCACATATTTACAACCCCGCGCTTCTGGATATTTACAACCCAGCCGCGCTTCTGGATGCAAAAATGGGACAGCCTTGCGGCAAGGCTTGACACAGTCTCAGGAAGCATCTGTGCAAATTGCACGGTTTTTAGCTTTCCAGAACAAGTGGAGAGTGCAGCGGGCAAATATGGCCGATACGAGGACAAAGAGAGCCGAGCGCAGCACTGCAAGTGTTTCGCGCTGTGAGGCAAGCGCGAAAGCTTGCTGGTCAATGAAAATGTAGGTCAGGACGAATGCCGCAAGAATGCAAGCTGCCACCACTAACACTGCAAGGCTGAAGGCCAAATCCAGCACGCAATGTACTTGCTTCGTGCGGAGTTTGTAAGCCAACGCAACACCTAGCACTACGATGCTAGGTATTGCCAACAGCCACCATGCCATTCCATCAAAGAAAACCGACACCCCAAGGCTCGTGTCATCAATTGAGAAGAGATAAGCCACTCGATCCAAGAACAACCACATGACAGGACTACTGGCCACAACGACTTGTTGGTATAGGTACACTGGACTGGTGAGCTGTCGAAGCAGTGTTGTCCTTACCTCCCCCTGCACCAAGCATTCGAAGTCAGTACTGCTTCCAAACCAGATTCCAATGCACTTCAGCATGACATCACGATCGCAAGGCAAGGGTTCGCCGGTTTCGTCCACGTGGTTCACAGTGCAACACCAGCACTTCGCATCCTTGACTCGGAACTTGGCGAGTTGTTGCTGCAGCGTGTCCAGGCTGCAACAGAAAGTTCGGCCAATGTGGGCAAGACAAAGGAAACACGGCAAGAGGCCTGTCGATATCGTCAACGCCATCATCATGATGCTACTACCGAATGTTTGTAACATGATTGGCCACGCAAGGAGTAAAGCAATCAAGCCAGCCTTTCCTATCAGAAGAACTGGTCCCATAAGGTTTGGTCGAATGCTCAGGTGCTTGCTCGTTGTTGCTCCGCGTTTTTGGCTGTGAAGAAACGAGGCCAGCTCGAAAACACACCAGAATCTCCTAAGCCGCATTTTGAATCTCTTATGAATTAGACTCGCAGCCTCACTACTAACAACGAAACGCAAACGGTCGACCTGAAGAGAGTTAAGTCTCTGTACCCAACTCGGATCCCACAACACAAGCATTGATGCTGAGCTCTTCAAGATTGCACCCATGCTGATCATGGCCTCGCCCTTCAAACCTTCGTCCTCTTGGTTTATGCAGAGCACGTCCAGGAACACGAGCCTGCGCACTCGCCACAACATAAAGGATGCGCAGAAGAAGATCACCCCACTCAAAACGCTCCACTGCGAGTCGCAGAACGTATTGACACCAGTGTCGAGAGTGGCAGGCAAGACCCTCACAGCACGCAGCACGCAGCTCAGGAGGGCTCCCCCCATGCCGAAGGCGGCCGCTATAGTGGCACAGTTCAAATACCATGCGGTGACATACTTCATCCAGGCGGATGTGTGCCAGCTGTGGGACCAAAACTCGTCGATGCAGGTTGTGGCACGGCTGAGTTGGTATTGTCCCTGTTGCCTCCCACGCATCGCCTGCCCACAGCCCTGCAAAGCACAGTGCACGGGGACGGCCCGAATGATTTCGGCCCTGGTAGGCTCCATGCTGGCTACAAGGTCCACGATCCAGTCGTCGCCGTTCGTGCTTGCTTGTGGCGAACTGGGTGCTTTGACGGGCTCTGGCAAGTCCAAGCCCTCAACAAGTTCAAGCGCACGAATTCCTGTGTAGTACTCAGGCGGAACTTTCTGCAGATAGCCAGGAGGCTCGACAGCTCGGCCAAGCTCTGATGGTTCGAGCTCAGGCAACACGGCCATGGCAGGCGGTGGGTTTAGGGCGTGACGCGCTTTTGATTTGGCACTGGCGGCCTGGAGGAATCATTCCAAATGATATTGCCCACATGCATCGCAACGTCGCAGGTCGAGCAAGTAGCACGAGCCACTCACAGAGTCTTACGAGACCATTCGAGGACAAGCGTCCTCGACCTAATCCCTGGATCTCAAAAGCCCAGACTCCGAGGCTGAAGCCACGCCTTTGGATCCCACTCCACTGCCAGCACCGCGCTGCCTCAGCTACGGGTGCCTTCGAGACCCAGGGTCCGCAATGAGGCGACGGAACGATGATATCTGCACCCCTGAACTGCGGAAAGGGCCGACGTTGGTTTCGTCAAGGCTTTTCGGCCCTAGGCTCTCGTGCTGAGGACGTTTAGGGTGTCTTCCGCGGGCGCAATGCGCTGGGTAGTTGCAGTTGCCGAGCACCAGGCCGTTCGCACGACCTCATCGCAAATTCTAATGAGGGGTTGCGAGTCTGACATTCAAACTCAGCCTTGGGGTCTGCCATGAAGTAATTACAACAAGCTTCGGGTGCACACCCACATAGGCAGCTGAAGGAACAACATTCCTCTAAGTATTAGGCGCCGTGCTGGGCTAGGAAGTGTTTTGAGGATGCAAGGGTGCTGAGGCTATCTTATCCGAGTGTCGTGGGGAGTTGTGCGAAGTTGTGCGACACACACGAATGGTCTTTGCCACTAAGGCTCGAAGAAATGCCAAACATCTCGTGCTCGGCTTCAGGCTCCCATGACCCCAAGAATTCCGAAACTCAGCTTTGCTTGACCCGGACACAGACACCCGCAGACAACGCTCAACAGCTGCCGAGCCGGCGACACGTCACGGAGGAGGTGTCCTCTGGGGCAAGCGCTGATTGAAATTCCCGGATTTGAGGGTTTGGAGCCTGGTGCCCTCATTTCTAGGTGTCGGCGCATCTCGATTTGTCAACACGTCGATGAGCGTACAGTGCGAAATGCTGGCATCACTGCCCTTAAACATTACCAGTGTAGTCTGGTCGTACACTGGACCGGTTGTGAACCAAATCACCAGGTACGAACCCAGACCGGCAATCATGCTGAACCCGATAACCCCCAACCCTGAAAGTCTCCAGTCTCACGCTTGCCGCTTCCGTGGCCATCGGCAGCCACAGATGTTGCGCACGGAAGGCAGGGGAAGCTTGGGGGCTGTTGAGCTTTGGGGCTTTTAGGATCGGAGGATGTCAGGTGAGGGCCCCGAGGGGCTTCGGGGCTTCTACGGAGTTTCGAGCACAAGGCTCTGACCGTGGTGCATGAATTGCTCCAGGCTCTCCGAAGGCTAAGTTGGGAGGCAGCCAAGAGATGGAGCTAAAACTCTGAGACTATAGGTCGGGTAGGTTTTGCGGAGGGTGTCGACTTGTATTTCGCTGCAGTAGCTTGGTGGACTGAGGCTCAAGACTGTAGGGTTCGCTAGCAAGGCCTCGGATTGCTGGGTGTGTTGGAATTGATTATATTCAGTGCCATCCTGTTACATGCAAATGCTCGCAGCAGTGTTCCAATTGCAATTGTCACTAACCGAAGGTGCTCGTAGTGTAGGTCGCCCCCTTTTCGGTACATGTTGCCTGGGATCTGGAGCCCAGCATCGTTGCTCGCCCTTTGGACGGATACATGCTGGCAAAGCCGAGATGTCGCAAGAAAAGCCCTGTGCCCAAACAGAAAACGGATACTGCCGGAAACACCAAGAGAATCGAACATGCCCTTCGCCAAACTCTTCTCGATTCCCAGCTACGGGATAGGATTTGTGATCTTCATCCATCATCTCATGTTACACTCTGTTCTGCCAAATTCTAAGCTGTTCGATGTCTTGAGAGTATGGTACAGTATATTGGATTGAGCATAGACCATCTATACAACCAGACGTTTATCAACCCGGAGAATCGATGCTGAAGCGGGCGCAACACCTCCCGAAAACAATGTTACGAACCAAACACGCGATGTGGTGCAACAGCATGGCCAAGATTGGAGCCGAGCACGAGCTAGGACGTCGTGGATGCTTTTCTGCTTCCCTACTTCACTTGAGAAGCACTGCATAATAAGGAGTTAACGAACATCTAAAGCATACGGATAGTTGATGTTAGGTCTGCCACGGCTTGTGACCAGGGTTTCTGATTCTAAAGAACTCCCAGGTGTGCGTCATTGCGGGTGCCTTAGCCGTAGCTTGCGGAGGGGTACTCTCAAGTCAACACAAGTAGATGCAAAACAGGGAGACTGTACTACTCAGAATAGGATTTTGGATAAGGAATCTCAAAACGAGATTGGGAATCATTCCAACCTTTACATGGTGCACTTCAACAAGAAGACGATATACTGGGGCCACCCGCAAGCTTTTGGGTGTAGTCGCGCTCTACTTGCTGCACCTGGGCTCATTGAGAGTTGGTCGAGTACAAATTTCTCCTCCGTTTTCTCCCTGGGTCCCTGGTTTTGAGCATCTGAAAGGCAACATTGCAGCAGAGTTGAAGAAGCCGAGAAGGGCCGTTCCCAGGGACAGCGCAGTTAAGGTAAGACAAACGGGCCCACGG